ACGTACGGATTTATGGAAATGGACATAAAAATAATGAATTTCAGGAAGAGAAATATCCAGGCATGGTAATATTTTCACTTCGAATTATATATATAGTATTGAAACAAAAAGAGTCGTCCATTCAAACAATATAACACGATTTGACATTTCTGTGTGGGTTTGATTTCCCGGAAGGTTAGGTGACCGTATGTTCGAAATATGAAACTGTAAAGAGAAAAAAACACCAACTGTTTCGAAAGTTCTATAGAATTTGAGTTATAAAGCTCATTCGCAGAGTTGGAAAAATTATTGTTACATGAATTCACTTGTTGAACTCAAACCAGAAATGCTCAGACAGAGTTTTAGTCTGTTAAAATGAGATTTCTCTCAATTATTTGGAAATAAAAGGTAGCCTGAATTAACAATTTTATTTTCTTCAAATGATTCCAGTGTGAATCGAAAAATCTCCCCATATAATTCCAGATTCAGAAATGGATGCGAAACTTTCAATTCTTTCAACTACAGAATGTTTTACATATTCATCAGGAAAATCTAGAGGGGTTTAATTTTTGGAGATACAAGTCTAGTTCCTTATGAGGAATTTCATTTGATCTACTCGTTCAAACCTGATCTTCAACAGCTTTAAAGCTGCTAGTGGGTAAGTATCATCGTGCTTTGAAGAGAAGGTTGAGACTAATAGATGTTATGGTGTTCATATCAAAAAATTAATGATGAACCGTGAACAAACCTTTCTATTGGTCAGTATATCACCAGATCAGATCAGAATGATCAGTATATAATAGTGATCTGAAGTAAATCGATACATATCTCGAAGGTACAAAGCAATGTGTCACTGTGAACATTGATTTTTATCATACTGAACACGGTTCTCTAGAATCGAATTCTCACCAAATACAACCATCCTTTTTCTCGTTGCGTTGTTTATCTTTTGGAGAAAACCGATGTCTATGTTTTCGTGGCATTGAATTGAACCTGGTTGGTTTCATCCCAATTCAAAATCACTTCTAGATCCTCCTGCTGCCAGTGAAGATGTGCGTCCTGGAATCCAAATGGAATGACGAGACAAATGTGCTGTCGTCAGCTAAGCAATATATTGTATTCTTCATTTTTTCCCAATGAGTCGTTGATATACAATGAAAAAAAGGTTGGAGACAATATGAATCCCTGGGGATTTTCAGGAAGCTGGAAAGCCATACACAAAAATTATTAGACAACCATAGCATCGAAGTTTGGCCAGCATGCCACACACGGTCAAAGGCCATGTTTCTCGATTGAGTCATTGCAAATATGAGTGACAGACGATAAAAAGACGCCTGTTGATCTTTGTTTCCGAAAGCCATATTGATGACCGCTCAAGATGTTGAAGCCTTCCGAATATTTGAGGATATGGTGGTTTACGGCTTCCTTCATGATTTTTGATATCACTAATAGCAAAGCGACTAGTATATAGTTATTTGGAAAATTGTTCTTGCCCTTTTTGGGAATAGGCTGAACGCGAGCAATCATCCAACAAGAAAGAAACACTCCTTTCTTGTAGGGCATGTTGGAAAGTCTGCTAGTAGTTCAGCTAGTAGATTCGCTTATTCTATGGCTGTTGTTGCAATTGAACCACCTGTTTGTATTAGTGGTGGAGTTGTTGATTTTGTAAAATTTCGATTAACAGCTTTAGATACCGACCAAAGGGGTTGACAAGAACTTCATTGCTGATTATCTGATTGTGAAGTTATTTGCTTTCATTTATCTCAAGTTCGCAGCTGATGGGAGCATCAATGAATCTAGTTTTTGAGCCACTGCCGGTAGGCGATATTTTTTAAAGCTATAGCTTCCTCGCAATTTTTGTTGAATCAAAGTTTGCCGTTAGAAGTTTGTTACATTGAAAAAATAATATATGCATCCGTAGATAATAGAATAACTTACGTGATTTCGGAAGCACAATTTGATGGATCATTAAAGCTGAAACAAACATCTAGCCAGGAAAAATTTCGGAAATGGCCTTGAATATCCCCCCCTTTCAGCAAATCTGAAATTCCAATCTTTGGGCGGCTCAGATTTTCCCCAATATTTATCGGTAATTCACTGATATAATTTTGTAGTCAGAAGATCTCAAAGGAGACCTTGGAGTGTATTAATTTCTGGATTGATTGTTAGGTATAAATCCAGAAGATTTATAATCTGAGTAAGTACGCTGCTTATTGCAGAAGCTCAGCTTCGCGAACTTGTTCGTCGATAATATTTGAAAGTTTGAACCATTCGATATCATGAAAATTGAAGTCATCGAATATGGGGATTTCGACACCTCACTTTCGTAAGCAATAACATGTTTTCCATAACTTTTCTTATTCAACAATTATTGTAAAGTTCCTTATGAAGAGACAATTAACGCTTCGAAAGCTTGAACAGAAAAAAGAGTTTCACAATGTTTCTGCCTCTGCCTCTGTAGAGAATATTCTTAAACGAATTACTAAAATATGAAGAAACTTGTGGATTGATAAGGACTTTGTGTATTTCTTCTTTCCCTGCATTTCGAAAACCTCGGTTTCTCATTCCCATTCAAAGTTTCTTCTCTTGTGAATGAATCCAAGCATTGTGACAAACTCAATTAGTCAGTTCTCGTGGTACGGAGAGAGGCAAATCCCAGACAGAATCGAAGGTTACTGATGAGTGTACACAATGCGTGTACTTCATCGTAGATTTCAATTGGGCAATGAAATTATCTACAATCTTATAGTTATGTATCCTCAAATATGTGAGCCATGACGTTTGTCCTTTTCCGCTGTCGCTCAAACATTGGATTACGCTTGCTGGGACACAGTAATTTTGCTTTTATTTCAATTCCATAAAGTGGTTTGTTATTACCTTTCTTTTCTCTATAAAGTAGGTTATCAGAAAACATGAAAATTTCATCAAGTTCTTCAGAATCAGGAAAAGTACCAAAAAACGAAGCCGCATTTCCTCTTCGGATTGCTATGTGAGAAAAGATGTCGATCTTGATTCGTGGGTTTCATTAGTTACCTTTTCTTCAATTTCATTGATGGCTATGAATTTACGATACATCTATAACAATTTGTTACACATGTGATTAGGTTACACCTGTATGAAAATAAATAATGCTCCAGAGCCAAAAACACCAAAAGTTTCAACAGATATTGGGCGAAAGATATAATCATTTTCCAAATTCTGATATTTCTGTAGTTTGGAACGTTCTCCTAATGAGGCAGCAGCACCGGCTTTCGCAGAAGTAGCAGGAAGATGGCAAGTTGCTAATGTATCTACACAATTAAAATCCCAACCAACCGATTCACCGTTTTTCCATAGAACAAGTGTCATACCATCTGGAGTTTTTCCTTCGTCAGGACTTGTACCTATTTTTGCAGAAGTTAATGCCCTTTTGATTGGATAATTCATTGCACAATGGCGAGATAAACGTCCAGCGCTAAAACGGCAGCTCAACTCATGAGTACCTGATTCATCCACAAATGAACCACATTTACAAAAGTGTTGAACACACAGTGGTGTACCAAGTCGAAATTCAATCGCAAGTTTGAAACAGTCGTCATCCAATATAGTCCCAAGTGATGCTACAGGAATAGCATTCAACCATGTACCAGATACTTGTGATGCACTGTTTGGAAACATTTGTGTAGTAATGAATATTACTGGAGTTTTTTCCCAACACCAAACTGTTGTTTCAACACCTCGACATGTGTTTCTATCACCAAGTGATCCTCTTTAAGAGAAAGATCAAACTAATTATACTTACAAAGTTATAGTTAGTTATACGGTACCCATGTCTTAAGTGTCCTGAATTAATTTCACAATATTGTCTTATCTAGTAGTCTTAAAATAATTTTACAATGTGTCCTCATGTAATAGTTAGGTAAATCTAATAATTGAAATATTATTCTAACAAGCTATATAGTATACCGTTAGATATTGGTCCACCATCCTTATTCATAATATTATTATGTTTACTTATTTCTACACTCTCATAGGCATTTAGATGCATGTTGTTTTTAACTTGTCTAACTAATCTTAATAAACTGACATCTATGGAATAGTTTTGTTGCAGAATATTATGGGCGTCTGCTGATTTTTCAGGTCTCAGCTCCAGTAATTTTCAAGCACCAGATTGTTTCACAGTAGCTGCGGGAAGACGTGCCTCATTTTTTCAAAGTATCAGAAGCTGTTTTCAGTAGAATACTAGTTGCTTTATCTAGTAATGGTTTATCCCATGCCCTCTGGTTTTTTATGTCTTCAATTTTCATTGTTTGGTCAGAGATTTGCCCCGATCAATCAGATATTGGCTTTGGGTATTGTAAGATGACTTCTTTCAGATTATAAATACTGCAAAATGAGGTCAGAAATAAGCGAGTGAAATGGCTGAACGAAACCCTAATCCTGAAAGTGATACCTGTAACCAAGGTTCATGTTCGATGCGGTTATTGGTGAAGAGTTCCAGTATCCTTCTTAATTCGTCATCGATATTTTGTAATTCCTTTTCGTCATGCCAAGTAGGGCTGCACCTCAAAACATACGATAATTTTGGAATGGCCAATGAATTCAATGCGACCTGTGTTGAAAAAATAAATAAGAAGAAGAAACCAATTGGGTTTTTCAGTCAAACGTATACCAGGAAATATTAACCGATCTGTTATATTCAACCCCTGTTTGAAATTCAGATTGGAAAGAAAGTTGAAAAACTCTTTAATCACCTTGAAATATTCTGCCTAGATAACCAAAAAGGCCGTAGCTAGACTTTCTGAAAAATCATCTAATACATTTTAGTATGTTTGCACCGTTTCGTATCTTCCTAGTGAAAATGAAAGGCATATGACGATTGTTTGAAATATTTGCATGTAATACCCGTATGGAATCAACTGATACTCTGTGAAAAAAATGTTCTTGTCATAGAAACAAGCCATACTCGAAATAATGAAAAATGTAGATATACCGTTCTTGATTAGCAGGGTTGTATTGCAAAATATATAATGTTCGCTTACTTGCTGTTTCTTTATCATTCCTACTTCACAAGGTAGAGAGCAAGCAGACGTCGGCGTAACAGTGACATTATGATCGAATACCAAGAATTCAGAGTCAAGCTCCAGCTCATTGAACCATTTTCCCACTTTCTGTAACCAAGAAAAAAATAAATTAAAGTATTATTCATGAATAAGAAAAATCATTCAAATGAAATACATTCCATAGTAACACTTTCTGTTCTCAAAATATTTACGAATATTGTGAATTTATCTCAATTTTGATATTTTTAGGATTCTCTGAGAGCAACTTTTCCCACGTACATTTCATAGTACAAATTTTTGAAATTAAACTATATATTCTCCAAGACATACTTGTACAGGGTGTCCCAACAAAAATATAATCAAAGGCATTATTGTCAGAGAAACAACTTTTCGCAAAAACCCAGAAACACGCCAAGTTCGTTTGTAAGACAGACAAATTTTGATATATGACCCATTGCAAAACCTTCATTCCTATAAGCGGTGGGGTCATCTCTAATTTCTAAAAGAAATGAGTGGTGTCGAGTAACAATTCATTGAACTTTCGATTTTCCATCTACTAATGCCCTGCTTTTAGAAATCGGCTCAATCGTAGTTTAGAAATTCCAATATTACGTTATTCGAAAAATGAGAAAATTAAATGGATTCTATTCAAAGGCTTGCCGTATTAATCAAGTTATTGCTCGGAATATTTACCGCCAACCTACTCGTACATATGATAAAAAAAACCATTGTTGTACATTTCGTGGCACTATCAGTACTTTTCGAGATACGTGACTCACATGACTTCTAATGAAACAGAAGGGTTGTGGAATTGGCAGCGGTGGTAGTGTGCCCGACTCACGATCGGAAGGCCGTGGGTTCGATTCTCGCCTCGACCAGATATTTTTCTCGAGAGAATTCATCTGGTTGAAGCTGGGATGATTCTGCAACCGTGTTAGGAATCACACGTTAAAAGGTAAGACCTCGTTAGTCCTTAACTCGCACAAGTTTCTCAACTTCTGAGAGTTGTCGTTCGTATGGGGGCGACAGCTGATTAACGGAAAAACAGATTTTTCAAACAGAAAGATTATAAACAGGTGTAATGCAATACATTTTGTTTATTATGTGTCCGACTCAAGTCGGGTAACCAAGGAGATCATCATTCAATTGTATCGCATTGTACTATTCAGGTCCACTCTTCATATTTGGATTGCAATGTATAGTACAAGCTCGTCGAAAAGAGTATTGCATTTCCGGTGATTCGAAAAAGAACTTGTTTTTGATTGATTCTACGCCGGAAGTTCCAGTTTTACCCTTTTTACGATTGTCGTTACTATATTGATAAAAAACTCAAAGTTATTCAATCGGGACACACACAAAATCCTCAGAAGTTAAACGTTTGGAGTTCATAGCATTTCAACAAGTGATATATACCTCGATATTCACCATCCCTCACTTGACTCGAGTACTTTGGATTTGTTTGAGAGAACACAGACGAAGTGTATCGCATTCCACCTGACTCAAAATCTGTGGTTTTAATTTTCAATTGAAAATGAAATCATTTGAATAAACATTTTTATCATTAAGTTTTACTATCAAAATAACTCACAAAAAAGTAGGAAATAATTTAAAAGTTCACATTTTTACTTTTTTTTTATATTCATAGGTACTATCTCTCAATAAACCTCAAATATAGTCTCTCATCATGTTTTCATTGTATTGACCTTGATAACGTTGTTCAAAGCTCATAATGTCCTGGTGAAAACGTTCTCCGTGCTCTTCTGAATACGCTCCCATGTTGTTTTTGAATTTATCTAAATAAGCATGCAGCATATGTACTTTTAATGACATCCTGCAGCCCATGGCCTCAAAATTTTAAAGTTTTTTGTAGTTTTCGGCTTCGTTATTACCTAAAAATCCAGAAACGACTGCAATAAAACTGTTCCAACTCGCTTTTTGAGTACGATTCAGCAACGTTGGAAACTTTTCATCGGCGAATATTTGTCTAATTTGCGGACCAACAAAAACCCCAGCTTCAACCTTTGCTTCTGATAACTTCGGAAAAAATGTTCTCAAGTAATCGAAAGCTTCTGAGGTTTGATCCAGCTTTTTAACAAATTGTTTCATCAACCCTAACTTAAAGTATAGAGGTGGCATGTTTGTAGAGGTGGCATGTTTGTATATGCGCTTTGAAGTCCCATCAAAAATCCCACCCTTTCAAAATCCCCAATCAGCTGCCAGTTATACTCGCGATATTTTACAGATTCAAGCAAAATTTAAACACTTTCATAATTTTCTTCAAGATGTACTGAGTGAGCGATTGGAAGAGATGAAAATTCATTTCCGTTGTGCAATAAAACAGCTTTTAAGCTTTTTGTGAAGCTGTCAATGAATAAACGCCATTCGCTAGGAACACAAGGCATGCCATTTTCTTCAAACGTACCTTTTATGTCATTGCAAAAACAAAGTCCATATTTTTTTGTGAAAAATGTTGAGAATGTTTCATGCCTTGTACGCTGATACGTGATATTAACATCATCGGACAAATTCCACTGTTTTAAGCGAGAGCCTAAAAGCTCTGCTTTACTTTTTGGCAAATTTAAATCTCTAATCAAATTATTAAAATCTTCTGTAGTGATGAAATGATGTTTTGGTTGTTCTGGTGTCGGTAAAAACTCCTTATCGGAATTACTTTTATGAGAACTAAGAGATGAGCTACTTTTCTGTGATAATTTTTTCGGTGGCTCAGGTACTGTCGTGTCAGATCATGTGCGACTGGAACAGAAGAAGATTCAAGATCTGGATATTCGATAGGTTTTGCATTTTTACCTCTACGTCTTTTGCTCGGATTCACAATGCAAAAGAAGCAGTCGTTAACATGGTCTTTTGGTTCTCGCCAGATTCTTGGTACCGAAAAATTTCATAGACCTTTTCTCACCTCGATACCAACCTGAAATATGGAAATGGAATTTAATATGTCCATTATATTCAATTCATTCAATTAGACTTTTCTTACCTTCCAAACATCTTTTACAATAACCACAAGCAACATGTGGAGTCTTGTCTTGTCTTGGTTCCATACCGGACAGTATACCGGACATACCGGACATACCGGACAATATGCTTCGTAGGTTTCACAGAGAATGTTAGATGTATTTAATTCGTATTTTAAATCTGGAACTTTAATAAATTGCCCACATATATAACAAAATGCATCAGCATCATATATACACTTTCTCGAAGACATTTAAAGTTATTCTAGATTTGTACAAAACACCTGATCGTTGTTTATCACTCTAGTGCCGTCTGTCAGCACTGTGTGAATGTTAAAACCCCACTCACAAAACACCTGATCGTTGTTCATCACTCTAGTGTCATCTATCAGCACTGTCTGAACGTTAAAACCGCACTCACAAAACACCTGATCGTTGTTTATCACTATAGTGCAATCTATCAACACTGTAAACTTTGAAAATTCAAAAATGAGTATTACTACTACAACTATTACAAAAGCAAACTCTATACCAAAAAAGGTATTTTCTTTTTGTTTTCGTTCATAATTCAGCAGAATATAAAAAAATAAACTTCAGGACAAAGAGCGAAAATTATTTTGTAGAGTCGTCGTGAAGTAACACAGCTCGTGCGTAAAAATGTACTCCAATGGTTTGGAGAGCCGGTGTGCAGGTTGGCGGAAAACATTCCTAGCATTTAAATATGAAGGTCCTCAATACTAATACTTATTTGCAGTATTTCAAAAAATATAGATGAACTCAAAATCAAACTTGAAGAATTTGAAACGTCTTTCCAATGCATATTCCTAACAGAAATTTAGCACATGCCTGATACTACCCCCCTCAATAAGACTGCATTATTCTATACAACGACAGCAACAACAATCAAACTGTGGGTGTCATTGTATTCGTAAAAGCAAATTTATTTCATTCCAAAAATCATATCGAGCTGAATGGAAATGTATTACTGAAAATCAATATGAATGTAGACGATAGATAGATAGATAGATAGATAAATAGATAGATAGATAGATAGATAGATAGATAGATAGATAGATACATTACCGAAGTAATGCGAGAGCGGTTCCCGGTACTTGGCACCGAGAATAGGGGGAGGGGTTTTAGTCGGTAAGAATCCGGCACAGCGTCTATGAAGATTTCCCCTCCTCCTTCAAAAAAAAAAAATAGATAAATATATAGATAGATAGTTCTTTATTTCCAACAGGTATAAGTACAGATCATTTGCATCTATGCGTTCTATAGATCTCCAACGACTAAAATTGATGACTTTCTAAACCAACTCAATAAAGAGAATGGTAACCACATCACTGTTCATTTTTTGGTGATATAAACATTGATCTATTGAAACAAACTGAAGACTCGAGAACATATCTCGACATAATGAGTGAATATGGGTTTCACTCAACCATAAACACCATTGCAAGAGCAAGAAATGGATCGGAATCATGTCTAGATCACATATTCATTAAAACAAAACAGCAAAACTACAACAATCTATTGCTTATCACTATCTCCACCAAAATCACAAATCACTACATAACGTTACCACAAATTGTGCTGAATAATAAAAAAATAAATTAAATAAACAATAATTCAAAAGACTACTTTCAAAGATGAAACATAAAAGCACTACTTGAATCCATTAGCCAAATTAATTGGGCGGATGAATTATACCCGATACGTAACCTTGAACCTGTAACAGAAAAATTCATAAATACCTATCTTCGTAAATCAACAAGATACATAAAAATGAAAAATAGTGTGGGCAGACGAAAAAACTGGATTACGAAGTCCTTAATCAGACATTACAACAAAAAATCTATTATATCACTTATGGAAACAAGACCCAACCAATGTGAACATGAAAAATAATTATCTAACAACCGAAAGAATGACTAAGAAAGAAATGAAAGATGCAAAAGACCAGTATTATGGGAAGTTGATGGGAAATGAACAGAATACAAACAAAAAACTATGAAAAACGATCAATGAAATTCCTGAAAATGAAACAAAAAAAGAAATGAACAACATTAGAAACGAGATAGAAGAAGTCGTCACCAATCAAAAAATAATTGCTGATAATTGCTGCAAAAAACA